CAGAGAGAGAGAGAAACAGTTATTTTCCATTCTTATCGGAGAACATCCTATTTAAAAAAAAAAAAACCAACAGGCAAACATTAACTTTTGTAATAGTAATAAGCTTAATAGCAGTAAGAAGAATCCCTGGAGTTATACCAGATCCTTGGTATCAAATTGAACAGAATCTTTTAGAAGAATTTTGATTTACTCCAGGGGATACCATCAAAGCTATTACCCTCCTCATCTTTGCCACCATATCAATCAAACTTTCATATGCAATAGCATCTCCATGGAAGAGATGTGACAAAAGCTCAAAATGAATAGGCAGCCCTTCTGTTGCTAGACAATAAAGTATCCCTCTCCAATTCCAGCAACAGACCAGAGATGCATCCACTCAAAGGTATCAGGTTTTATCCTCTCACATTCATTCAGCAGCAAAAAAAAGGCAATAATTAGACTTCCTTGGCCCTCAGTAACACCATGATGAAGGAAGTAATTTGGATTCTAACAATGAAGATAGCAAAAACGTACTTTTCTTCCCTGCTTTATCCTGAATTACTGTCTTGATAGGATTCCTTCTCTTTCACCTTCACAGTAATCTACAGGCAAAACCCTCCTGCCACTGATGTTGAGGCTACACTCATTTTTACACTCCTGCTACATAGAAATATAACCAAAGATCAAACTGCAACACAAAAAAAATCCCATCATATCCCAGTTTGAGGCAATGTAATGAAATTACTGCTTAAGAATACAGGGAATACAGCATTTACTAGGCCAAGGGTTAAAGCAGTAACTTTTCAACTATTCTTAAGACTCCCTATGGGCTGTGGATAAAGGCAACAAAATCATGTAAGGAAGGGGGTGGTGGGGTTGAAGATGCCTGGTAAGGCAGAGAGGACTCAAGAAGCAAAGCCATCTGCTATCTGGCCAGGTCAGCCTCAGCAGGATCTGGTGATGGCTCTCCCAGCATGCAGAGAAGACACCTGGTTCCTTCTCATCACCATAACCCGCCTTTCTGCTGTGCCTGCTTATTGGAAGTCTTCAGATACAGCTGCTGGAGCAAAAACAGTTCCAAACCCTACACCTGGGAAAAAAAAACCCAGAATAAAAAAAAATTTATCTAGTGGATTGAACTGCGGTCTGGGAACCGGGAAGCCACACTGCTATCAACATGCCTCAGCACTACTCGGTGTTTACACCACACTTCACCAACCTTTCACAAGGTTCAGAGAGGTTAAAACACATGCCCATGGTCACAGAGCAACCAGGAACAAAATCCAGGATTTATAACCCAGGTCTACTGACTTCTAATCTGTGTAGGACTCAAAGGGCACTGCAACATCTCTTGTCTCGCATCAGACCTGACCCACTGCTGAATTTACGCAGGGGCACTGCTCACTGCATCCCATTTGAAGAGTTTGCCCAACCCAGGCACGCAGCCCCCGCGCTGTTAGCTTGCTTGCATTTGATTGCTGCATTTCTAATTTGGCAGCAAAGCCAATCTATCCTGGACCGACTCTTCTCAAATAGCTACCCGTCTGGCACTGTATCATCTAAACAATTTATTTTCAAATTCAATTCTCCATTTCACTTTATTGCTGTCAGAGCAATCTGCATGCATGGAGAGGGGGTATTAAAAAAAAAAAAATCTTCACCATGGCAAACCCTGTGGAAAATAATTCTGGGAAGACTGAGTTTCCCAACACTGCCGTGCCTATGTACATAAGTGTGTGCATCCGTGTGCACGTGCAGGATTTCCTCTATAAAACTAATCCTCCAGAACAGGTGGAGATAATCTCATTAGGTGGTTTTTAATTAGAGGCATGGCTAAGAACAACAATAACCACCAAAGGATGGATCTCGAGCCCTGGCCTCAGATCTGCATTGGTACAACGCTAGGATCCCAACTCTTGGAGCTAATGGCAGTGGAAGACTCAGCTACCTGGCTTGAGCAGTTCGTTATGCTTTAAAGATCTTTGAAAATTAGATTTAAAAGCTTCCCCCCCGCCATTCCCCAAATGCTCTGAAAGGTATTCTGCTCCCACCATGGGGACATCAGTCATGTCTGCCTTTGCTGCTTGCTAAAAACAGGATATTTCTATTGATTGGAAGAGATGAATAAAACAAAAAATAGAACCTTAAAAGCAATAAAATGGCAGGATCCAGTACCAAGATGGAAAAAAAAAAAAAAAATGTGTTTATAATGAAGTGCCAGGGAGGTAATAATTCAGACAGCCAAGACACAAGAAGGCTTATTTTATTACAGACTAGAAAACCCAGCCATTTCGGCCCCAAACAGGCACAGCAGCAACCTCAAAGCACGCAGCCTGTGGAACACGTCTGGCCACAGCAGTGGCTCCTGGTCCAGCTTCTTGTTTGGCTTTTACCAGAGCTGAGGTTTTGCTGTAAAGTTCCCCTTCAGGTTTCTACTTCCCTGCGGTCAATGTTTAAAAGCAGTGTTTTGGCTCAGCCTGCAGGTTTGCAGGCAGCAGCAGGTCCTGATGATGTGCCCATTGGGAAGGCAACAATCCCAAAAACTCCGGCAGCTGCCCACACCAGGTACTGCAGCCAGTCCCCAAAAACTGAGTAGAAAACAACCCTGGAAACACACTGGGCAACAGCAAGAACTAAACTGCAACCTCAAAGTGAGGGAGCCAGCAGGAAAAGGCCTGACCCTGAAGGAGACACAGAGAGGGCAAACCTAGACTAGTAAAGCTAGATAGGAAAAAAAAAAATAAAAAAAAATTTCAAGATAAGATTGCAGCTTGGGCTGCCTTTGAGCTGAAAATAACCTGCCCTAACCCTTCTAAGAGCATAGAGCCCAGGTGGCAAACCATAAAAGATAAACATGGGTTTTCACCAGATTCGGATCTTGGAGACCAACATGCCAGGTGGGATAGAGGTGACAACTCCCTGAGGACAGCGGCCTCCTTCCAAAATCTTGGGACTTTATAGAGAACCAAAGCTCACCAAGGCCACTTACTGCATTGTCCAAACAAAACGCAGTTTGACCACAAGCATGATGGCTGCTATGGATAGAAGAGAAGAGAAAGCCACTCTGGAGGCAAGGGAGCCACAACACGGCTTTGGAAAACGGGTGTCAAAACACCAGCTGTGGCCCTGACACCTACCCACATCCAGCCCATGGCTACAAACAGACAGAGGTGCTTGAATGGAGGTGCTCAACGTGCTGGGATTAGCAAGCAGCCAGCATTTCAATGGCAGGCTGGATTTCAGCTGTCCAGCCACCGAGCAACTAAGCTGGGCTTTCTAGGGGTTTGCCAAACCTCCGTGGCTACACAACCAGTACTGGTGGCAACCCAAGGCGGTTTGCAGAACTCAGCTTGCAGCCGGCTTCTCTCAGCAAGAGGAAAACAATGGTGACGCAGGACATTTCCAGACTCGTTGCTATTTCTGCTATAGCCGAGTGGCACATTTGTACAGGCCGTTATTCAATTTATACACAGCACTGTAGTAACTGTGAAAGCCAGGCGCATAATTTTATACCTCAATTATCTTAAAATCAGGTTCTCAAAGCATCATAATTATGCTCCAGAGTCAATATCCTGCTGCGATGACTCAGGTCCACCTCTGAGCTATTGCCTCAGGCTGTCTGAAGGCACAGCGTGCTGCGTTCACTTCTGATTTTAAAGGTTTCCCTCACAACAATAACAAACTTCCCAAGGAAGCGCCCTTTCATTAAAGTGGGGGGGATTGTTGGGATCTGCAGAAGCTGAACAGATCAAAAGACCCAGCAAAATCTCTCCGTTTAGCTCATGAGCTTGGTGTTTGGGGTTGTCACTTTAGGAGCATCAGGGCCAGCCTCCCTGTTACTGAACAAGGTAGCAGAGGTCTGATGACAACCGACAGCTTGTAATTAAGGAATACGGGTTAGTGCGTGAAGGGTATTTAAACTGTTCTACTGGAGTCCTGGAGGCCAAATCCTGGCCAGGCTCAACAGGCTGGCCCCGAGGGGTATGGAAACCAAGTGTTACAGCAAAAATCCTGGCTCCTTGATGTATCAGTTGGGTCCAGTGCAGGAAAACCACTTGCATTGGTGGGTTCAGGCTACCAAAGGGCTGTTACAGCTCTCCTAGCTGTCACCTCAACAAATGATTTTTGACCAGCTTACATTTTTCATGTCCAGGCTTTTTAGGGCTGGAACAAGCTATGCCAGGGCAGCAACAACCCACCCCATGCCACAGCTGCTATTTCCCATTTTCAACAGGGAAGAGAAAGCCCTAGATGCAGAGAGCAACTATAACGAGCTTTTTCTAGCCTCACACAGGAGGCTCATTTCACACTATTTTAAAGTTAAAAGACTCGCCCTAGGAAGGAAAAAGCCATCATGGAGGATCACACAGCAGCCAGTGGCAGAGGCAGGTACCAGCCCTGGGACTGCAGTCTCAGGTTCTTATCAACCACCGCACACTCAGGGCTGTGCTGCCTTTTGAAGTTGAGAAAAATCTCCCCTATGAACAATCACACTCACGAGCTGAAGATCGATATCCTTGACTCTGTTATTGAACAATTTTCCTTGCAGTATTTTCACATAACTGAGAAATGAAAGATAACTAACAGAAACAACTGTAAGAAAATCAAGCCAAACATGTAATGGCAAAAGGGCAAGCAAAGGCATTTTCTGGAGACCTCACCTACCTCCCTAAAGACTTTTCTTTAGGTTCTCTACATCTCCTTTATCCACCCAAATAGATGCCTCCTTGAAAAAAAGCAGTATCGAAGAGATGCTAGCTTTGGTCCCAAGCGTATCAAACATTTGGACTTTGGGAAGCAACACCAGGCTTAGCAGTCCAGCCACTTTCCCTCTCCTGCAGAGTTGCCTGAAGGAGAATACAGTGCACTCCTAC